GTCGTCGACGTCGGTCGACGTCGGTGTGGTGTCGTGTAGTGTCGTGTGTGTGTGTGTGTGTGTGTGTGTGTGTGTGTGTGTGTGTGTGTGTGTGTGTGTGTGTGTGTGTGTGTGTTTGCGTGTGTGTGTGGGTGTGTGTGTGTTTATTTATATATATATATATATATTTGTAATAGCTATATCCCGACCGTGTCAAACACATTTGGGGGAATCTCACGCTCACTAGAGTTCGTCTCTAATCCATATGATGAGCACAAACGGAATATACCATAACCAGGTGTGAATAAAAACACATTTATTCACTCTTGATATAAAACAAAAAATCGCAGTGATAACAGCCAAATGTCACTATAAGAGCGAAACAGTGGAGTTAAGAAAAAATTAAAGAGGTAGATCGATCGTTGGCTTATGAAAACCACATGTTATACTGTTTATATTTCTACTTAATGTCATTATTAGTACTATTTAAATAAATTTTTGGATATCATCACGTTTTATATAAAGAGGTTTTTGCTAGGAGTATATAATATATAATATTCTCTTTGCATCTCTTAACGAAAAATTTGTGAAAGAAATTTTTTTTTAATTAAAAAATTACAGTCACTAATGTACTTTCCTCTGATGCGATTGCGACGAAGAAATTAAGGTAATGGACGGCTAAAACGCTTACGTTTAAAAACACCTGAGATTTAAATGTTGACCTGCTTTTGCATGTGACATTTCCACGAGTGCAAAAATACGTTAAGCTGATTACAGCCAATGGGTATAAGCGCGAGTACGATATGTGCTTATGCATGAGAGAAAGGCTCACGCACACTCGATTCCCTTTGTTCTTCGCGGAATAAATGTTTTTCAAACACACTTCTCGATTAGAACGAAACCACTCGCAGCTTGGCAATAAAATATGTTCGATGATGAAAATAATTGATGCGTATATAATGTGTGTGAATAAGTGATTGATTTCCGTTTGTTGTAAAGGGTAGCGGGTGCCAAAGGAACCACTCCTTACGAGACTCTATACACACTATTAGCAAAACCATACAGCCAAGATTCTATAGGCTTCAACAGTTGACGCATATGGTTATAAAAGGCTGTAAATTAGTGTAAATAGTTAATTATGGTATAGTAATTGAGTTAAACGACGTAGTTATGCATTGATGGGGAAACAGATTAAATTTAAGGCGTTGCGGCGATGTGTAATGGGGAATTTTCAACCAAGCACACTCCGTCTCGCTCAATAATTAGGTATAATATCATGATAAAATTGAGATAAATTTATATAATTTAATCAGGAGTGTATAATATAGTTTAACATTACCACCGTATAGATTAATTTATATTATGCACTGCTGATTTAATCTGTATAGCATATTTCGACATGACATTAGCAGACGAATATCAACAAACATTCGTCGTTTCATGTGCTTCAGATAAATGTAGCGATACATTCATGTGATATCGCGAATAAATTAAATTGAATGGAATCCAGTAGATAATCAGAAATATACTTCTCTCTCTCCCTCTACTCTATCTCTCTCTCTCTCTCTCTCTCTCTCTCTCTCTCTCTCTCTCTCTCTCTCTCTCTCTCTCTCTC